ACGGTCCCAACCACATCACTCCCCCTCCCGACATCGTCGATGGAGAAGAAGAATACGAAGTCGAAGCCATTATCGGTCATCGTGGTACAACTCGACGCCAAACCTATCATGTGAAATGGAAAGGATTCCCGAGTTCCGAGAACGAGTGGATGACGGAAGAACAATTGGGTAACGCCTCAGACATTCTTTCTACTTATAAACGATCGCATCGTCTCTAATATTTTGTAGTAATCTGGGCTTACTACCCTTAAAACAGGGGTAATGTTACAGTTTCATTTCTTCACCTTATCACATATTACTAATCATTCCATGACATTCTATTCTATTCCATTGTACGATTCTCTTACTCTTTTTACCATTTGCTGCTCATATTCAAGCTCCGCTTCAATAACTCTATATATACTTCTCACCTTATGCTTTGTATCTTTAACTTGACCTACGCAGACCAGGGCCTGCAATCTAGCTTCATCTTTATCAGAACATTGGCTTTACTTGAACTCTTTGAAACGTAAAGACGTCTAAACAACGCCGAGCGTAACATTGGGTGGCAATGACCATGCATTTTGGAAAGTCAAGTTGTGGCTATTACCATATACCACGGGCAAATACTACAACAAGGGGTGATTTTTGGGTCTGATGTCCTATGTAAAAAGACATGTGGTACTGCGGTGTAAGACCTATGGTCTTTGTGGCCTTGTATAGGACTTTTTGTGTTGTCCCTCTGGTTCTAATACAGTGCATGCTACCCTTGGTATAGCACGCAAGCCTTCCATTGTTGGCCGACGGCCGCAGCTCTTGCACACATTTTGGCTAACGTCAGCTTCTCTTTGGGTCCATCGCACGTCTTCTGTCAGTCCTATCCATATCCTCTGCTGGTTCATTGGTGCGTATGTTACTCAATTCATACTAGACTGACAACATTTCCCAAACTAACTCATTTATATTCTCATTAAATGTGTCATGGACCCTACTTACATACTTCTTGTTATCTACTCAGTTCTGAGTAACACTTAGGCGAGCATACATATATATCTCATACTTAGAATTTTCATGTACTCTTCTTTTCCCGGACATGGAATCTATCATCATCTTGCACGCATCCTAAATGTCCATACTTGAAATCGAAAAACTTCAGCACGTAACACCATGCACAATTCTATCGGCCATGCTCGTATCGTTCACATTCACAAAAGTACTCTATCAGTTCACTGCTACATCATTTCACCCATGCACCACGCAGTCTTTCGCACTTTCCACCTTTCGGCTCGGCTGTGCATCTTCACGTGTCAATGTACCTTTGGCCACATGGTTCTTCATCGCCCCATACCTTTGGCACTTCGCATTGTGTTGCATTGCATCGGCTTGTGTTGCATCGGCTTTGGCTTTCATGTTCCTTTGCTTCTCAACTTCACTTATTAGTTTCCAAAGTTTCCCCTCATATTTTTACTTAGAGGAATCATTCTCAGTAGCAATCCCCTCGGGCCAAAACTATACTCATGTCCAGAGGTCTATTTGAGTTTTACCTGTCATATCCCGTATTCCGGACCTTCGGATGCCCTATCCATGTCTCCAGTCCTCTACCCATCCGGATCCCTGCACATCCGCACATCCACATCCACATCCCTTTACCTCCATACATCAGACCTCCATACCTCCGGAGCTAGCCTGCATCATTCATCCTTTGTCCTATCACCCTAATGTCATATCCCGCATTCTGGACCAACATCTGACGATGTTCCCACGCCTCATCCGGACCTCCAGACCTCCTGTCCATGTCTCCAGACCCAATCCTCTATCCGTCCGGATCCCTGTACTCCTGCATCTGATATCCGGATGCCAGATCTGATATCCACATCTCTGGATCTCCAAATCTGACCTATCTGTCATGTCCGAACTCAAACCTTAAATCAGCGCCCATCCCCTTATGGTAATCACCTGTCTCCGGACTTCAGAACATCTGGATCCGACCCGCGTCTATCTTCCGTGCCTTTTCCCTTTGTACGTTCCTTCTCAAGTTAGACTATACTCATTTTCCGTACCTCATTTCATCTCTGAGTTCATTTCCTATGATCCGTCTTATTTTCTAATACATTTCCACATGCTCGTACATAGCCTTACCCCTCTGCTTACTGATCTGCACAGACTTGCCTCTAGTATACAAACCCCAGTAGATACTCCTGTATTTCCTTAGTCTGAATATTACACATATTAGTCCTCGCACTAGCCTTCACCCTAAGTCCTCGTAACAGTTCTAGTCCTCCAACTTAGTCATTATCCATCTCAGGCCTAGGGAGGAATTCCCTAGGCCGGAGCTCCGCTCCTCCGCTCCTCCACTCCTCCACTCCTCCGATCCTCTGATCCACCATTCCTCCCAAGACTATTCCCAGACCGCAGACCCCTGGGTCAAACGCACTTGTCAGGCAAGTATAGCAGACTAGGCAGTGCAAAGACCACAACACAAATATATCAGTTTGGAGCCATCTTCGTATAGCCCCACTCAGTATTGTTGTTTCTACACCGCTGTGAAACCAACACATAAGGAGGAAAGTCGTGATGTTGAGGAAAGGCACGAAGAAATTGTCTTGTATGGTCTGTACTGATGACCCAAACCCAGACCACCAGGGACGAGCACTGGTCTGCTCACACCGTCGGCCAAATGTGGATGAGTCAGATATAGATGCCAGAGACACAAGGTCATCTGGACTGTGAGTAGGGAGATTGCCGTGATAAGTGCAATAGATGCCATAGTGATTAGGGTTGGTGCATATGGTGGAATCTTCGGGATGATCCTCTGCATCTGCTGGAGGAATAGGATTGTCAGATTCCACGGGAACATCAGTATCAGAGTGCTGTGGGAGAACAACAGCGACTAGGGGGGGCTGTTCATCCCAGAAACGCTTGGGTAAATGAATATGGTGGCCTGGTCGCCCAGAGGGATGGATGGGAGGAGGAGAAGGGCTTGCAGGCTGGGGAAGCTATAATGATATAGATTCAGTACTTAGAGGGGGCTCAAAGAGTGCAATACGAATAGGCACATCATCCTCAGCTTCAGTTGTACTGTCTCAAATCTCTTCTTGTCTACATTGAGCATCTTCTTCCTCTCCTCGGTGCTGAACCTTTGCAGCTTCTTGAGCTTCAATATTGGGACGTCTTTTCTTAAGTGTATCGGAGGCCACTCCGGTGACCTTTTTACAGAATCGTTTGTGTGCAGAGAGAGATCGGCTGTCATCAAAAGAGCGCCCGCACCCTGGGCACTTGTGAGTCAAGGGCATGGGCAGTGGAGTTATCACTCACCTGTGAATGGTCACTATAAATAATAAATATTGCCAGAACTTAATTGATAATCAGTAGCAGGGTTCAGCACGTACCTGGGATCAGTGATGTGAAGCACAGGCTCATACCAATATGGTACTAATCACGCTGCAGGTAAGATACGATGTAGGACACGAGCTGGCACTGGGCTCGTATCGAGCTATTTTACAGTACACGTCAAATACCCGTCACATGCTAATCACTTCCCGATGTTATCCGACGCTAACCCACCAACCCGACATTTAGGCCGCATCGGACCCGATGTTTTCCCGCGCACTTGTCCTATCCGTGTCCTGTCCTGTCTTGCTAGCCCCACTAGGTGTGTAGTTCATTATTTCGCACATTACTCACGTCGTAGCCAGCACTATTACATGTTTTCCCATAGTCCGCAGCGCCTCATGTTTATTTACATGTACTTCGGATCCGAAATACTCCGCCACTACTTTCGCCTATGGGTTCCGCATTTCTACGTACTTACATATATATTGGACTGACCTCGAGCATTATCCATCATCCAAGTAGAGGGGAGCAGTTCCCCGACGCTTAGTGGTCAAACCCGATATTTTGTAGTTCTTAGTTGATATTGCGAATATCATCGCTCTTTCATTATCCGTATCAGTCATTGTTATTATTGCGCACACCACTCGCTCTTCCGACACTCGCTATAGCGTTACTATTAGTTTCCGACACCCCGAACCCGAACCCGAAACCCCGAAAACATCGGACCCGACGCTTTTGCATCAGACATTGTAATTATACCTTTGGACATTGTTTCCCGTGCTCGGACTATTGATCTCACATCGCTCACTTATCCCCAAGACTATTCCCAGACTGCAGACCCCTGGGTCGAACGCACTTGTCAGGCAAGTATAGCAGACTAGGCAGTGCAAAGACCACAACACAAATATATCAGTTTGGAGCCATCTTTGTTTGTTCCTCTCAGTAAAAGTTGTTTCTACAACGACTCAAGTGATTTGAGCATGTATTACAGTACATACATTACAGAATGCTAAGATAATTAGGCCTCAGGCCAGGATACCTGCACCCGCAACATCCATTTAGAAAGCGGTAGATGGCATGGGCTGAAAAAGTAATGGCAATGGCATTACCCAGGGCTCCGGCATACGGAAAGAGCTTTGCGAGTGCAAAGGCGGGTGAGAATGTGAGGTTGAATGAGAATGCGAGGAGGGGTGAAGATGCAAGGTCGGGTGAAGATGTGAGGGTGGGTGAGAGATAGTATGCAATGATTGTGACGAGGAAAATGTCAATGGCATGGGTGGTGAAAAGGTCTGATGTCGTGCAGAGTTTGTCAATGACTGGTGCATATGCTCCCCCATAAATGTGGGAGGTTAAATGCTGCGGGACGACATGAAAAGAGAATGCAATGAGTAAAGTAAAAAAAACTCACTAGATTTATTGCGCTCGCTCCATGCACAACTGGGTATCTTCGTGTGCTTTGAGGGCGGGATACAGGAATGGCAGGAAGGCTTGAATGTCGCATAGATTGATGCTATTGGTGCAATCAACAATATCAGCCTGAGACTCGGATGAAGCCATTGTAGTTAAAGTAAGGACGCGTATATGACTGATGCCAAACAACATGTCAACATGATGGTAAAATTTAAACTCCAATCTGTAATGCACTGTGACATCTCAAGCACATCTTGCCCTTAACCCTTACCTCTATCATGCCCTCAATGTCATCCCCATCTCCTTCTCCCAATGATACTGCCCCAGGTCAAAATCATATGAAGGCAGTCCTCGACATCTTGGAGAACCTGCAAGGCGGTCAGAAAAGGAAGTGAATGTAAGTGATCTTTAAATAGTTTGATACTTAACGGTAGAGGTGAGGTGAGATAGGGACACTCTAGATCCTTACTTGAAGGCCACAAGAGCCTTCCCACTGCTTCATGATCCATTTGTGGATCTTGGTGCTGTGTTCTATGATGGCATCAGGGCCGATCATGGAGAAGAGGTCCCTGAAGACAATGAAACACCTGAGGAGCAGTAGGTTATCTTTCTTTCACCAATTCACTGATGCTATGCACTTATAATATTTATAGTAAGGACCGCTGTTAAGACCGTGCACAAAGGGTAGGACTGATTCCGAGGGGCTTGGCTTCAGCTCGTGCGCTGCGCCCCTTACCCGAGTATGTGCCCTTAATTTCAGAATGATGTCCAAAGAAAGTCCAAGGACATCCGAAGCGCGGGAAAGTTCGGAAGGACTTTCCGGACGAGTGCAAGTAACTTCCGGAAATTACGATGAGGTTTCATCCTGATACGGATATGTGTAATGGCTACTTAGGACAAGTCCTAAGTAGAAGCAAACAGAGGAAAGGCTGCAAGGACAAAGTCCGAAGCAGAATAGGTCCGGAGGACCGCGGGAAAGTTTCGGACGAACGTCCGGAAACTTCGGAGGATCGGATGAGCGGATAAGCGGAGCTCTGGCCTAGGGAATTTCTCCCTAGGCCCGAGATGGATATTGACTAAGTCGATAGACTAGAACTGATATGAGGACTTAGAGTGAGATCTAGTGCGAGGACTAATATGATATTCAGACTGAGGAACTACAGGACATATACAAGAGTTTATATACTAAGGAAATAACGGAAAGATCAGTAAGCAAGCGTCCGAGGCTATGTATGAAGCATAAGCAAAGTTATCAAGCGCGAGTCGGAAATGAAGCATAGGTTAACGGATCAGTAAGCATACTGGTAGTAAGTATAACCGAGATACCGAGGACAAGGAATACCGAATAGAGGAATAGGCTGTGTTAACGTTATATGCACAGGAATGAATTAGGAAGCTTATCGTATATCGGATCGGACCGGATCGGACCGGACCGGACGTCTGGATGAGATGCGTGGATCTATGGGATATGACATTAGGGTGATGGGACAAAGGATGACTGATGCAGGCTAGCTGAGGTATGGAGGTAAAGGGATGTGGATGTGGATGTGGATGTGCAGGGGTGCGGGGATCCGGATGGATAGAGGACTGGAGACATGGATAGGGCGTCCGAAGGTCCGGATGAGGCGTGGGAATATTGTCGGATGTAGGTCCGGAATACGGGATATGACAACCGCTTATATTGCATCAATGTCTTCTGCAGCTTCGAGGATGATCCAGCCAAGCCGGAAGACTTTATTAATGTGGTAAGTGGATATAGGCACCTATATCCACTTGTTTTCAGTCACACCTTGTTTCTAGCTTCGAAATGCTGCTTCCCTGGCACATGCTGAAGACACTTGCAAGCTTAAGGACCTCTGTCCATCATTTTTGCTTAACAACCCTGCGAAACCCGGGGCTGCATTGGACCCTCCCATTGTCAAAGAACAATCCAAGTCACTGCGCAGATGGAACCACAAAGATACTGCACAAGCGCTCTGTCCCATGGTGAACATTAAAACATTTGATGAAGACCCCCGGTATGCTATGTATCTTATTGTTCGCCTTTGCTTACACTTTGTTCTAGAGCATATATGAATAGTATTCTCAATGGCAAGAGGAAGCTGCCATCATTCAAGAAACTTCCTTCATGTTTGTATGAAGAGTCACTCGCTGATCCAAAACTAAAGCACTCTGGCTTTCTTCGTGGAAAACCTCTAGAACAGGCATGTGTCATTTTAATTGTAAGGCCTTCTTACATTCATTCTTCTAGACTTTCCATGCCATCTTCACTGGGCACTCACTGCACTCGAACCGACGTTCCACAAAGGCACAAAGCACCCAAAAGGTGTCATTCATGGCATGACAGAACCTTCTCCCCCAGCTATTGCCTATGCTGCTATTCAGGTATGAATTTATTTTATATAGATTGTAATGCTAATGTGTAGACTTATCCAGCTGATCATCTCGCTATCATCTGCCAAACAGTGGACATCAGAAGTAACTGGGCTTGATCTCTATGAGCTGTACATATCAATCATCGACTCCTTAAAACAGACTGATCATCCTTGGGTGAAGGAGACCCTCGACCACTGGAAAAGGTTTGTTTCTCTTTTCTATTGAGTTTAATGTTTTGACACATTGAAAGGGTTGCACCATGGCTAACCCAGACCTCATGAAGGAAAAATGGCTGCCATACCACTGCAGCATCCGACGATTCGGACTCGGACGACATGGAAGGTTTCCTTGACGATCCCCCAGAATGCTCACCTCAACGCCCATCACTCGACCACCCTGAGGATGGTCCTTCTGCCAGTCAATATCCCTCATCCCCACCACCACCACCACCTGAATGCCAGCACCAGCTAACACCACCACCACCACCATCTGAAGGCCAGTGCCAACTAACACCGCCACCGCCATCATCTGAATGTCAGCACCAACCAACACCACCACCACCCAACCCTGATGAGGATGAGGACAACAGACTAACCCCTCCACCTTCAACTCCTGTAGTTCAGACACCTCAGGTTGGAAAACGTAAGGCTCCTGGGACTGCCAAGCATGGCAAGGCCCCTCGTCGAAAATGTTGAATCAGACAACTCAGTATCATTGGACTTGCTATACACATTGTTCAGATTTGTGCATGTTCGTTCATTTGTACTACTAGTATGTACTTGTAAATGGAACCGAATTCATCATTCATGTTCTATGTGCAATGACAAGTGTGAATCAATGCAACAAGCTTGGCATTGATGCCATGATACTATATATATTGGTGACAACAATTTATTTGCATTAATGAGGAACATTGTTTGTATGTTGTGAATTTGCATCTATAGCATGAAAGTGCACATATAGTGTAGAATTGCACACATAACATAAAATTGCATATACAATGTAAAATCTAATACATGCCATACCATTCTGCCATTGAACATCAATGCAAACAGTCGCAAGCATCAAAATTTAAGGGTGTGTGAAAACCTGCCACGTATATGTACTGTCTGGTACCCATTCGACTGATTATTTGCCATTATATGATGGTGTTGCTTTTGTTGATGCAACTGCATGTGGTGAGTAGAGTGGCGGGTGTGTCAGCAGCTGCTAGCCATCTACCACGGACACACTAGTACTGACAGGAGGCACAATGATGGCAGGCAGCTTTGGAATTGTCACAAAGCAAACATGTGACAAAAAACAATTCAAACTCAGCTCAGGTCAGTCCAGGTCAGCTGTGTTTGCCGAACACCCCAGACTTTGAGGGCATCTGGGAATTCGAATTTCTGGGTCCATCTGGCCGAGTCCAGCTCACAATTTGCATTCAAAGCAGTCTAGAACTCGTGAGTCTCCCCCCTGAGGGTGCTTTACGTTGATTGTGGTGGTTTTCCAGTGTTCTACATGGCTTTATGACTTTATATTTCAATATAACGAAAACATTTTCTATAATATGATCATATATTGGCATAGATGACAATATCTGCGGCTCACCAGGACTGTCCTCTGATGGTATGACACTGATACATTACATGAGCAGAAATGTGGACGGGAAAGCCGGTCGGTGAGATGATTGCTAGTAGGTGAGCACAAAACTGTAGCAGAGAAAGCCGGCCAGCCCAGTGCACAAGAAGGACAGGCAAAAGCCCAAACCATATCTAATACAAAGCTGTAATAATCAGGCAAGGCAAGGCTGGGATATTGCTAAAGTTGATGTGTTCGAGACAGTAACAAGTCATAAAAATGAGCTCATTATATGATGCAACATTAAGAACTGACAAGTTGTGTGCGGACGGATCCGGACAGAGCACGCAGCCGGATGGAGACTGCCAGAAATTCAGATTCCCAGACTTTCTGCAGACTTTGGCCCCAGACTGGCCAGATCTCTGGAGGGCATCTAGGAATCCAAATTTCTGGGTCTGTCTGTCTGTCTGTCTGTCTGTCTGTCTGTCTGTCTGTCTGTCTGTCCGGGTCCGTCTGGGTCTGTCCGGGTCTGTCCAGATATGCAACATTGATACAAGCTAGTAAGTTAAAATATGGTGCGTAGTAGGTAATGTAGTAGACAGTTGGACTCAGATGACACGACTCCGGACCAGGGCCAAACAGCGATATAACTCTTCATACACGCCATCAGTTACTGCGCTGATCAAGGGTGCCTCGTTTATGTTGAATGCTGTGGAGCCTGAGCTGGAATTGGTGTGAAGACTTTTGCCCCATCCCCCCAGTGTTTCCTTCTCCAAGATAACAAGTGTTGATGTCACCAAATCGAGAGCACTGCGCGCATTATGAAACAATACTTGGCTCCATCTCACATGCCATGGGACACAAGAATTTGACAAACCCTTCAAGTCGGCCTTTCTCATGTGCAACAAGCCGCTTTCGCTCCTCGACGTTACACAGACAGATCTGTCTTGGCAAGAATTTGCATTTCTTTCTGCCTGTGAACACTGAAAACCTGTCTACCAGTATCAAGGAGGTACATGCTATGTCAACGAAAACCTCCCACGTGTATGACTTTGTTTTGCAGCTGACTTTGCTCCCAGTCGGTCACACATCGGTCTGTGTCATTAAACAACTCGCGACTCAACTCTCCTCCCACTTTCACCACAAAGGGGATGATGAGGACTTGAATGAGGCTATTGTGCTTCACAGGGAAGTGCTGGCTTGATGGTGGGTGGGTGCGAGAGGGCGGGAGCCCGGAGAAGTGACCCCACTATTATAGTAATATCTCCCTAATACCAGCAATCCATGGTGATACCCACCTATAACTCATTCAATAGCATTAGATTTGTATCGGTACCATTTTCCAGATCAAATCAAACTATTTTGACCTATCTAAAGATCTAAATTTCCTTTTGACTTCTATCTTTTCTCATTTCGACAAGTGCTGTTTTTTTTTCAAAAGACCTCAAAACACAACAATATAATCTATAGGTTCTATTTTCTTTGATCTATATCAACACATATCTACCTCTTTCTTGTCAATTTTCACTGGGAGCGCTCAGCGCTCAGTGTCAACAATGGCTGCAAGAAGTACTGGCGTGAGACCCAGGCGGACAGACCCAGGCGTAGGCAGACAGTCCCGGACAGACCCGTAGACCGCCGGACCCGAACTGCCGGAAATTCGGATTCCCAGACTTTCTGGATCTCTGACATTCACGATATGGAAATACTATTGGTTACCACTTGCTCGTGCATCCCCACATTTCGTGCATCCTCCAAAACCACACTTTTCCTATTACAACTTGTCAAACTACTATGTCTATTTGAAATAATAATACACAAGAACCTATTACGAGCTTAGACAGATGCATTCGGACAAGAAACAAGAGAAATAAATGTTTGGTTGTGACAAAGGCTTTTGTCACTTCCATTGTCACCTGCTGTCCGCTGCCGCAGCGGAGTTTCAACTCAGACGCGCACGGATGGCACGGTGACTGTAAAAAGCCAGTGTGACTAAACCGTGACTTTTCTGTGACTGCACGAAATGTGGTGTGCACGAGCAAGTGGTAACCAATAGTAGCTGTAAAATGCCGTATAAAAACTTCTGACATTATTCCCAACAAGTTCAAACAAAACTCTAAGTAAGATCGGAGAGGACCGAGAACTCAAAAGAACAACCGGGTGCGTGAACCAGGGGTACTATGACTTTCACTCGGTGCGCCAAGTTCACATTGAGATCTAGGGCTCGATGCACTATTAGCCCCAGTGCTCGCGAATGTGACGACAAGCGGTCTCCCCAATTTTGCCCTGTCCGAATCAACTTCAATCTCAGAGCGGGTCAACATGCAGGCCGCCACCCAGAGTGGAGTAGCCTTTTTGATGGACGAGTACAAGGGAGCACTTATATCCAGTACTACGGGCAGCAAGTGGGCTGTGTGGGGCCTCGAGGACTGGGTCAAGGCAGGTTTCATGGCAATTTGGGTTCCTGGTGAAGTTGTGGATGTCACACTTTGCATTTGGTTGCTGACTCCGCGTTTCGGAAGAGCTGTGGGCGATGTATGCGCATATGGCACGCATGCGCCGCAAGGTGCTTTCTGTTGGTAAGAGCCATAGTAGTTTGGGAGCGAGGTTCAAAGACAGGTTTGAGGCGGAGTAAGAGATGCTATGAGTATTGGCGAGAATGCAAATTGTGGTTGACTATTCGCAATGCCCTGGAATGACTATATCATCAATCCTCGAGTCATCCTCCACCAATTGTGTAGCGCAACCCGATATGTACGAATTCCTTGTCAGTTTGACTCAAGGGAGGCTGCACATATCGCGCTTCACATGCAGGTATACATGGACTTGTGCAGGCAAAGTGGGTCGATTTTATCAATGTTCTATAAAAGATCCCGCTAACGGCCAGCAGCAACTGCCAACAGTACATTGTCTGTCATATTTGATCCAGAACTCAGTGATGTGCGTGTAATTTGCTCGATGTTAGGTTTCAGTCAGGTCATTTGCCTTTCAAAGTAGCATTTTGATCTGGGCTGGCAAGTCCTCAAATTGTTATGTTATAGTAAACGTGTCGAAGCGCATCGCAAGTCTAGATTGGAATTTCATGTCTGGCTTAAAATCTTGCTTCAACCTCCAACTCCCATCATTTTTCCTCTACCCTTTACCATGTCTGCTACCATGCTTCCTCGCTTCCCTTTTTTCTTTCTACTCCTGACTGTAGGCGCGTTAGGCTTTCCCATAGATGGCATAACACCCCCGATGTACGTGCGTGATCCCTTTGGAACGTTCAACTACACCTAGGATTGGCACAGCTCGACCGTTGTAGTTGAAATCAATATTCCAATCTTCAATCAACAGGTCGCGGTGAGTTTCCATCGTACACAATCTTCTGCAAGACCAACTTTTATACTCAGATGGCCGAGCTTAAAGCCATCAAACTAAAATACGGGAATGTACAAGATGTTATAGCTGGCAAGAACCTCGTGGTGTTATCAGATGCACTTTCAGACCCCAGGCTCGATGGACTATCAGATGCAGCGCTCACCGATACACCGAGCAACCTCTCCGGCTTTGCGTTGTCCAAATCAACGCCAACATCACAGCAGGTCAAGAGCTTTTTTGCGATGAATGCCGCCGCTCAGAGTGCGACAGACCCTCTGACAGACGAGATAGTTGGGAACATCGATCTCCAGTACTACGGCCCAGTTGGGTTTGGGAACGATACACATCCACAGCAGCTCTCAGTGATCATAGACACGGGTTCTGCAGACCTCTGGATCCCTGTTGGCTGTGGCGATTGCGTGAATCCACAATACGAAGCTAATGCGAGCTCGACGTACACAGACACCGGGAATTCATTTAATGTGACCTACGTGCGTCTCCCCTCCCACTATCTCGATGCCGGTCTGATCTTGCTGGATGGCAGGGATCCGGTAATGTAGGAGGCACCCTTGCGCATGATACGATCGGTGTTGGTAGTCTGAAGATCGATAAGCAATACTTTGGTGCTGTCACTCACGTATCGAGTGACTTCAATGACGATCCGATCTCCGGCCTCATCGGGCTTAGTTTTAGTTCTATCGCGGCGTCAGGGAAGCCAACGTTCTTCGAGAACCTGATCATGCAGGACAAGGTCTCGGCACCATTCTTCTCTGTGTATGTGACAAGAGGAAAGGCGAACGGGTCGACGGTACGTTGTGCTTTAGCGTTGATACGATCATAATCGAGATGATTTTAGATAACTCTTGGAGGTTTCGATGTGTCGAAGGCAGTGGGACCTTTGACATGGGTCCCAGTTGTTTCCAAGGTTGCTCCTCCTGCGCCTTTATACCTCCCTTCTAACTGGTTCTTATCGACAGACTTACTGGACAGTACAATTCGACGGAGCTGTTGTTGAAGGGAAAAACGTAACTGGTGACCTCCATGCGGTAAGGTTCAGCCCGTCAGCCGCATCTTCACTCAGTTCCACCTCACTCACCCTGCATAGGCAATTGACACAGGTACTACTTTGATATACCTCTCGCAGGCTGTGGCATCCTCGATCTACGCCAATGTCAGTCTCTCGCTCTTTGCTTCTCTCGTCAACCTTGCTGACGAGTCATAGATACCCGGAGCGGGCCCCGCAGCAAATTATGACTCTAATTTCTTCTCCTTTCCATGCAACTCCAACCCCACGATTTCATTATTACTTGGTGGGCACGACTTCGGCCTTAACCTTCAAGACTTCAATCTTGGACAAGAGGCAGACGGGTCAAAGTAGGTCAAAGTGTCTTCATATAATACATGCTGCCTGAACGAGCACAGAAACTGCATCGGTGGAATCGTTGGGATGGACGATACATTCATGGAAGGATTTGCCATCATCGGTAAGTTGTTTGGGTACTTGGTTCATTATGTTGATTGTACGTTGATGTTGCGTGCTGCAGGGGATGAGTTTCTGAAATCATGTGAGTACTGTCTTGTTTGCACGGGTTTGATCTGGAACGCTCGCGATTGTTGTCATCCAGGGTACTCGGTGTATGACTACTCCCACGGGGCGCGGGTAGGTTTCGCCCCAAATATTAATAACGCGCAGTAGGATATTCGGAACTCTCGATACCCCCATGGACACTAGCGTATCTAAGTTTGGGAGAGATGGCGGATCATCGATGATCGATCAGGTCTGCCTGAGTAGACGGTATCGTCACTATCGTGGTTATTGTTACTTCGACGGACTTTAGATTATACCAAAGTCATACGATCTGAACGTGATGAGGTGTAGATCAGAGCCTTTGTTCCACAGCCGACGTGAACCACAACAAAGAGCTGCTGCCATGCTGTCAACATCAAGGGGCCTTTAAAGTGACAGGGAAATAACACAGCATCGACATCGACTTGACAGTGCTTAGTATTACTCAGCCAGACTGGATTCGGATTACATTATATGAAGGTCAGGAGGTTGTACAAGAAGCGATGACAGGTGACCAGTGTGATTCTGTCGACGTCATCAAGGAGTCAAAAGGTAACCCCATGGACGAAAGACAATGCCAGTACTTCTCGCTGGGAAAAAAGTTTACACTGCTCACAGCCTGAATGGGTGACCGGTGACCTTGTGGTATTACTCGAACCCCTGATAACGTCATCAATCACGACGAGGTGAGAGCGAGGACAACACGTCTAAGTCATTGTTGTGGTTCGGGAGTGCGAGGATGATGGTGGCAGTGGTACAGGCACAGGCTCGTGTTTTGGAATACCTTGGCGATGATGATACTTATAGATACAAGCAGCAAAATCCTCCATACCTGGGGGAGATGCGCTTGAGGCCGGACACATTGGTGTTGAATAATTCAGTGACAGCGTGTCCGGCGTTGTCGACGTAGGACGAATTTGGTGAAGGGAAGGCCGGCGTTGGCGGAGGGCGATCATGATGGTGGTCATAAGAGGGCGTGGACGCCAAAAGCACACCCTCGATCACCGGAGAAGGATGAGGGCCGCGAAAGTGACGGGCGAGTGGAATTTGGTGCGGTGCGGTGAAGGGCGCCCGGCGCATGCACTGATGAAACTTGATTTGAGAGTGAGATGAACGCGGATGGTAAGTATTCCGGACAAGCAAAGATATAGGCAATAAACAACCCGAGTTGTAGGTTGAGTTTAGGTGACGACTTTTGTGTAGACGTTCGCGTCGATATCAGCGAGCGCCAGAAAGTTAGTCGAGGGGCGCTGTTCCTGGAGGTAAATCTGCAGCTGACGAATCTTGTCATCACGTTCTTACGTTATGCCAACGTTCCGTACCTTGTTTTCGGGAGCTTTGTGGAACCGAAGTATTTAGGAAGGCACTCGTCACTCCCATGAATCCCGTGAAGTTCATTCTAATCACATCTTCATTACCCCTTGCTCGCGCATAGCACCGAGAACGGCTACAGCATATCCGGGTGGTTGCGGACATGAACTGCAAAGCGACGATGATCATCCCTGCACTTGAAGTGGTCGAAGCAACCGTGACAACCTTAACGTTAGTATGGTTCGTGCTGTGTTGCAATCATTCTGGCAAGTAGATGACTGTCTACACGTGTTCGTAACCAAGATCCGCGAGAAGCTGCCACATACGTTCACATGATGCTGTACAGGGGGATGGTTCATAGCTTGCACCACAAACACCACCGGATTGGAAAGTCTGCCAGAAGTAAATCAATGACAGCATAACCACTGTAAAGGCAAGGCTGTTCCTTATGCTGTGTTGCCACGAGGTCAAGTTAATTACCTGGTATGACATCAAGGAGGAGGTCGAACTATTCTGAAATGCACGCTTTGAGTTGAATGAGTCAATGATGCGTATGATGGCATCGTTTTGTTCATGACCGCAGTGAGTGTGGTGTGACGCGTGACCTCACTTGAAAGCGATAGAGTATATATGGAAATCTCGATTATCGCCGTCCCTCCACCTCAACACCCACAACTGACTTTCGATGCAACCAGATTCTGCGTCCACTCAGGACGACGTTTCTTCTTATAATGCTCCTAGACCTGTTCCAGTTCCTGTATCGTCCCAGAGACCAGCACCACGTCCACCACCCTCTTCGGGTGGTGCACCCCGTAACACTTTAAGTGGTCTACTCGCAAACAGAGGAGGAAATGCTCCAATACCTCCTTCATTGCAGGCAAAAATGACAGCAGTATGTATTACACTCGCCATCTTTGATTAACCGAAAATTTTTCATTCCTGTGTCTGACCTACCTTGTTCAGATGATGAATCGCGGATCAGCTGCGTTACCCGGCTCGGCCATCGATTCCGCAGCACACGCGCAACGTGCTTCCATAAACGAAACGAATCACCCAATTGTTCATTCTTCCTTCTCATTTTCCGCTTCACCAGGCTCATCATCATTGGTTGCTACACGCGCTCGCGGACGCGGTGGCGGTGTTACTGCTGCGGGTAGACGCACTAAGCCAGAATTTAAATTATCCGACATGAACCCTGAAACGGGAGGCGGTGCTATTGGTGCAGGGCTTGGAGCAGGGCGTCCATCGCTAGCTGAAGCCAGGAGAGGGCCCTCATCATTTGATACTCCGTTTGCAAATTTCAACAAGATCGTGTGCGTATCTCTATCTTTTTTCCGCTATCATGAGCTAAATCCAACTTCTTCCCCTCTTTTAGTGATCCTTCTGGACGCCTCAACTTCGCCGGGAAAGCCGTTCTGCATGCTTCGGGCGTCGATTTTTCCAATGGATCATCTTATGCTATAAATATGGAACAGCTTGTTCTTGAGCAGGAACTCGGCCGTGGTAACTATGGTACAGTCAAGAAGGTTCTGCATCGACCGACAAAGGTCGAAATGGCTATGAAGGTCCAACCCCTGACACGTTTTTGATCCCCCTTATCTAATCATTGCTTCCAGGAAATTCGTCTCGAGCTAGACTCCACTAAACTCAATGGAATATTGATGGAGTTGGACATCTTGCACCGCGCCGTAAGCTCATACATCGTGGAATTCTATGGTGCTTTCTTCGTGGAATCGTGCGTGTACTACTGCATGGAGTACATGGACGGTGGTTCGCTGGCTTCTTTGTGTTGCTTTCCGAATGGTAATGTTTCTCTGCCGCCAAGTTTATCTACCAGTCCGGGCTCTGCATGGACGTCTAGTCCTCCACCGCTTGCTGATGAGCACCTCTGCCGCATCGCTTCATCCATGACACATGGTCTTGAATTCCTCAAAACTGAACTTGGGGTCATGCACCGGGACGTCAAACCTACGAACGTCCTTGTGAATTGCAAGGGCGAAGTGAAGCTTTGCGATTTCGGTGTTAGCGGACAGCTGGAGAAGAGCATTGCGAAGACGAATGTCGGTTGTCAAAGTTACATGGCCGTAGGTTCTTACCTCCGATTAGCACTGAACTGTGTTGATCGCGTACTTCCGCAGCCTGAGAGAATTAAGGGTTCTTCATCATCTGGATCTAATATGGAAGATGCCTTCACTTCATACACGGTCAGTGCAGATGTATGGTCCCTGGGCTTGTCGATTGTTGAAATTGCACGAGGAAGGTGTGCCCTAGTTGGTTGTATTTTTGGAGCAGAACTGACCAATCGATAGATACCCATACCCTCCGGAAACTTACGAGAATGTATTTGCACAACTAAGTGCCATAGTGGATGGCGAAGCACCTGGACTGCCAGAAGACGAGGAAATCGCAGACGAAGAAGTTGGGGTTCATGCTCAGGATAATGGTGCATCTCCAGGACAGTTTAACTTCATACGCAAGGGGAAGCGAAGATGGTCTCCAGAAGCGCATGACTGGGTTCGACAGTGCCTCATCAAGAATGCAGATGGGCGAGCCACTTACAAGGAGTTACTTGAACATCCATGGATGCGGACCGACAGACATCGAAATGTTGACATGGTGAGTTGGGTAGCAAAGGCGATCGAATGGCGGGATCGGGGAGGGAGATAAGCAAGTATCGTGCATTCGCGGTGGCCGTTGTTCCATGCATCCTATCTGCATTTTTCGTTTTTTGCATTGGCTTTTCTCCACATAGATACTCGATGCATGCCGCCATCGTTTTACCCAACATTCTTTTTGCTCACATGTATTATCACTCACACTCGCGCATTGGCGCTGGTCGTTGATATACCCTAATCCCCTTTGCTATGTTGACGTTGTCCATTATTTCCTCGTTCTCTTGGGATTGCAGTAGACCATAGTGGGCCATTATATTGTTTTGTTTCGCGGGCATGTAGCTTTAGTTTTGACTTGCAATTAATGGGACCGGTTGTTTGGTCGTGTTAACATCTGAAGGTGTCACGTCACTGACTCTTTCAAGAACTTTGAAGCATTTTGTGTTTTAGATCATCGGCTCGAGCCGAAGGTTTCAAGCTGTCGTCACTCCACCAAGGTGATTGTTTGTCTAGTAGCGTGTTGTCCGATCATACTCACATTCCGCAGTCATCCTCAGCTTCGTGCTGTTTCTTCGCGCGGCGTACTCTTTTTTCCGCGGTACACTTTTTCACCAGTCCAAACATCCGTTCTCTGCCATGATTCATGTCAAATGGGACAGGGAGATCCTGCATTTTCCAGTACCTCCTCCGGAGACTAAGCTTGGAAAACTGAGAACAGACCTAGCAGAATATACCCACCTTCCTCTCGGATCCTTCAAGCTCATTCACGCTGGAGCTGTGATGAAGGATGATTCCGCGCCACGTATGTAGAGTCATGTGTGTTTTCAGCTTGGTGCCTCAACTTATTATTTCCCAGTGACAGCTTATAAAATACGCGAGAACTCTACTATTGCGCTGATCGGCGGTCATTCACTTCCATCAGCGTCGACGCCTGCACCACCAGCTAGACCACAACCCAAAGTGAAAGAGCCTCCAACAGAACAAAGCACTATCACTGCTATTCGGTCCGAGCTTGATCGTGTACGGACAACACTGGCACCGGACGTCGACGCGTTGGTCAACGCACTTACTCCATCTGCAGCCACAACCGCGTCATCTCCCACGTCTGCTCCAACACCCACATCAGGAAGTACACCAACGCAGTCATTTAGCTCCACTGCACAAGCTCCTCATTTCCCCCCTAATCCTACGTCCGCTTCCTATACATCGAAACCCACTTCATCGGATCACACGCGCTTATCCGAACTTCTTTTGCAGTCGTTGTTGCGTCTTGATGCTATGCATCTGGCGGGATCGGATTGGCCTGAGGCTCGAGCGGAACGTAAAGCTGCTGTTCGTGAGGTTCAGGGAGTGCTTGACCGGTTGGATGGGGCTTGGTCGGCGCGGTGAGTGCTGCTATGCATGTAGGGTTGGTTCTAGGATATATAGATGGGAGCTAGCAAGTCCACTATTAGTATTAGAGGATACTCCGGATTGGCACATACCTTAATATACGGTGGAACTTTTGATCTTTATTTTCGAAAGGTTTCAGATTGTGCGCTCATCCAAGACAGAATTCCGACTAAATTCATGGTTACTGGAGAACCAAGACTGCTGTGACTCGTTGGTCAGTTCTGCCGGCACCGGCAGAAGGTGACTACAGCTACTTATGTGGTTGATGCATGTGTTTTAGTGATGTAAAATATGTCTGACAAGGCTTTCGCTCCACTAACGCGAGGGTCGGGGATGTACAACAGCTTGCTCAGAAAGTGAAGTAAATGGGTGCTGTATTTCATATCTATTTAGAATGCTCTTGCGAAATGACTCGGTAATACGAAGGGACTTCGTAAACGTAACATGCCTTAAGATACTCGGGACAACTCTCAATAATAAATGTAGATCAGCGCCAAGATATAGTATTTTCGAGAATGAGTGGAGGACTATATCACACTGTCAGGGTCAATCTCGTTTCAAACGTTGTGCGGAGATAGGGGCGACGGATGTATAACTTATACTGGATTTGCCGACACAAGGCATCGCGGCTGTGGGCGTCGGAAATGGGACATGTGGAAGAGGAGTAAAAGAGAGAGCCCAAGGTCTGTTTGAGGCGTGGAGGCCTATGAACGTTCCTTGTGGCACCACAACGAGCTCTGTTAGGGAAGCATGAGCTGACAGTTCCCTCGTCGACATAGTAAAGTGACGTTTGCATTATCGATTGTTGAGATCGAATTCGACGGCCGGCAGCACTTTATTGGGCTGTACGTAAACAGGTCCGTGCTAAGGACAAACAAAAGGATCAGTTTCTAGGATTTTGCTTCCGAATCGAGATAATGGTTGGAGATATACACACTTTTGCAATCGAGTTTCTGCCCCTCAGACAAAACAATGAGGCAAGATTGCAGGCCCTTCAACCACCACTGCCTTTCGAGCCAGGAAAGGGAACATCGATCCCAGAAAGACTGAAATATATGATTGAGCTTGTCATCCCATGGGTTCAGACCTTGTAAGAGATGCATAATCCAGTTTTGACGGGCGTACTTGAGAGCGCCGGAAGCTGATTGACTTTGGTTTTGTGCTTCGTTTGCGAAGGTCATAAAAGATGCTATAGCATGTCCGATCTTCATGTCCGCTCGAAAATATATCCTAGAGAGGTGCTGACTTGGATGTCCTAAGGACAGTAAAACCGGAAACGCCAATGAATCTGGCAAGCTCTTGAACTGCTGGACTGCTTGGAAAGTTGGAAGTAAAGTCGATTCTGGGACAATGATATATTCGTCGATGACTTCCAACGTGCTTGAGAATTCTTCCATGTTCAACCAGACAGAAGCCGCGGGAGTAGACTGCCATGCTTTGCTATCGGGTATTTGCAGCCACTCTTGTGCGTGTAGGGTCCGCAGCCAATGCTGTCCACCCGGGGTTTGCAACCATTCCTACCCGCTCGGGATCCGTAGCCATTCTCGCATGTCTGGAATCTGCTGCCATTCCTGCTGCCCGAGGTTTGCGGCCATTTTATGCCCGCTCGTGGAATGGATGGATGAATGGATGGTGATAAAACGCAATCGAAGAACAAGCGGATACTCGTCTGATTGTAGACCAGGGGGTAAACGAGGCTGCCGTAAGTGCTGAGGCTAGAATTTCGACTTCAGGGCTGTTGTGAGCTGTCGGAGTCATACTATGTCCAGTATGCTGTAGCCTCACGATATATCAACCCTCTTGTTCGTCCCTTTTCTTTGATTTAGAAACTTTAGGAATTTTTCGATGTCATGATCAAGTAAATGGTCCAGTGTTACTGCACTCAAGGAATTTACAAAGGTTAATTGATGGAAGATTAGCTCCGTTTCCTCGTGCAGTAGACGGCCACTCAACATGCCATGATACTCCTTTGGTAAATTCGCCTGAGAATCTTCCTAGCGCAATCCCAAGAAGACATAGTCATTATGTAGAGCAGAAGGAAAGCAGGTGCTGATTCCTGAGTAAAAAAATTGCATGATTATCAAATGTCATTACTTTCGCAAACAACTCTGAGTCTAAGACGTCTTCGAGTTGGGGCATGCGCTATAGCTATAAGGAGCCGCCGTCAACACGCAAGGGCCCCAATCCTCTTCTCTTTCTCGGTCTGTCTCTGGCTTCATTCGGCGTCTTCTACTACATCGTCAAACGTCGAGAGACAGCTTATCCGGCATCGAAGCAACCTAGACAACACGACAACCCTCTTATTCCCCCCCGACACCGAGATCAGTAACCTCAATACAAATCAATCCAACATGGCAGAATCCACGTCCTCGCCTGTTTTTGACGCCGAGAAGGTCACCGTCATTTATGTCCTGGGTGGGCCCGGAGCTGGCAAGTTCCCACTCAGAAACCAATCGTCGCGCATACGGTGGTCTGATCAGTGTCATAGGGAAAGGCACGCAATGTAGCAAGCTCGTTGACGCGTTTGGCTTTTGCCATCTATCTGGTTAGACCTTTTCACCTCTTTATCAAGGCTGATGTGAACATTGGACCCAGCTGGAGACCTTCTGCGTGAAGAGCAAAACCGAGAAGGGTCTCAATATGGTGAAATGATCCGAACATACATTCGAGAGGGTACTATCGTCCCATCTCATGTCACCATGAAGCTTCTTGAGAATGCTATGACCGAAGAGATGAAGAAAAAGACGGGAGATGGGTGGGTGGATGGTAGGGGTCGATTCTTGATCGATGGCTTCCCTAGGAAGATTGATCAGGCTATTGGATTCGATGAAACGGTGCGAGAGGATGTTGCTCGCTTCACCATGCCACGATACTGATTTCAGGGTCCAGGTATGTCTTGCTTCATTGGTCATCTTCTTCAACACATCGGAAGATGTGATGCTTCAACGCCTGCTGGAGCGCGCAAAAACCAGCGGACGTGAAGACGACAACGTCGAAACTATTAGAAAGCGTTTCCGTATGTGATACCTGCTCTTGCTTTTCCTCAGCTTACAACGAAATTAGGCACATACAACGAGCAAACCATGCCCGTGATAGAACATTACAGGACGCTGAACAAGGTTGCAGAGGTGAGCAAAGGCTTATATTTATCTTGCTCTGATGCTCAGCTCTAGATGTGTAGATCGATAGCACGGCGGCGGTCGAGGAAGTCTATCATGCGGCGTGTGCTACTGTTACCAACCTGTTTTCTTGATTTATACCCAGAATACCTCCTTAGACATCGAAATCCGAACACTTTTTGTCTGCAACTACGAGCGCTGTTGGGGTATCGCTAGTGCGCTCTCAAAGTAAACTCGGGACCTTGTTATGTCACTCCCAAGTGTAGAATTGAATGCTAACTATTCTTAGTTCATTTCACAGCAAGCACGTAACGCATTGGTTACAACCATTCGTGTTTAGGTACCACCGGGTTCTCAATCGCGAACTACATGCCGCTACCTTTTTTTGAAAGAAAAAATGCAGTTCATTGTCTTCTCAGGATTCAGCGCCGTCCTATCTCGATGCTCCGATGATGACAACGTCGGAGGAGAATTGTTGACACTGTTTTCTATGTTTGCTCAATTTTGTGTCACCTAGTGGCACACGATGCCAAACATGACTCGCGCTTGAATGTTCGGGCCTACCTTACGGTGAAAAATGGCCTACTCTCAACCCACTTGTGACAGACACCTAAGTAACTGGACGCTGGCCTTGCTTGGCTGACTTTCAAGTGCATGGGAACCAGCAGGATCGCGGAGTCTGCACGGAAGACGCGGAATCGATAGAGCTGTCCTTTCTTATTGGCCTTATCCCTTGCACATTTCTTAAGCAAGTCCACCTCGACTATAGTGCTTGACAGCATTAACCTCCAGTAGAATGGCACGGGCTGGACGGCTCATTACTAGTACCAGACGATCCAAAAAGAACCCCCTCGTTCGGACGTTCGAAGCCCATGAAGAAGCGGTGGTCGCAGTCGCAGTCTTCCCCGATGGACGACGTATGGTGACGGGCTCGTTTGACAGTACGCTTTGTTTGTGGGACTTGACAGACGGCGTTTGGTTGAAGAGCTTGGAGGGGCACACCAGCGAAGTGAGTGGCTTAGCGGTATCACGAGATGGCCAATTCATCGCGAGTGGCGGCACGAACGGAGAGCTAATCGTCTGGCACGGAGACACTGGAACTCGTAGCCGAACCTTGGCCGCTGATTCGATGTGTTTGATCAGTTTAGATTTTTCTCCAGACGACAAAATACTGGCAACTTGTTCACATGATGAAATGACGAAGCTCTGGGGGACAGAAAATTGGCAACTTCAAGGAAGTCCCATCACTTGTTGTGTGGCTCCGTATACTCAATCAATCGTCTACTGGATTCGCTATTCACCATCTGGTGAACATCTTGCCATCGCGACAGAGAATGATATCCAGATATGGAATCCAAGCACGAGGAAATGCATTACAGCTTTCAAGGCTCATGCAGCAATCGAAAATGCTTACAACGGCCCACTCCAATGGACACCGGATGGGAGACGCCTTCTCTCGGCAGGTTCAGACCTTGACCCCAATATATTGGAGTGGGATACACTTACCTGGCAGCAGGTCGGTGATCCCTGGAAGGGCCACCGTGCCAGCATCAATGCCATTGCCACTAATACCTCTGGCACTCTTGTCGCCTCCTCATCTGATGACGAGGACGTCCGCCTTTGGAAGCTTTTGGACCGGCAGACTATTGCCATATTCAAGCACTCCCGCGAAGTAATGTGCGTCACCTTCACCCTCGATAGCAAGCATGTCCTCAGTGGAGGCCATGATGCCAAGATCTCCCAGTGGAGAGTACCTCTGGACGCTTTGCAGGGGGACGAACAAGAGCTACAGCAGGTGAGTTCACGTTTATTATCTGCTCCGTTACCTCATCTCATGTCTTTTGAAAGGCTCGAGACGCCGAACTAAATGTACGTGTGCGCCCTAAACTCGCATAATGCAATTGGAGCGCGGATTATGATCATACAGATTTTCGCTCTACACACGGCAGCTCGTGGTGCGTGCCTCGAGGGGAAGCTGGAGGACGCTGTGAAGCTCCTCACGAAAGAGATCGATGCTGATCCTAACAAACATATCCCCTATGCCAATCGTTCTTTTCTCATGTCGCGATTATGTGCTTGGAAAAATGCGCTTCGGGATGCAGATCAGGTCAGATACACTAACCCACGATGGCCCTCAAGTAGGCTAACTATGATCGTGACTTAGTCCATCGCCATTAAGCCCTCGTTGACAGGTTATATCTCGAAGGGTATTGTCCTCTGCAGGAACAAGCAGTTTCAGGAGGCAACCACAGCGTTCGATATTGCGTTTACGTTTACGAAGAAAGATTCGTCTTTGAATCATCTTCTTTTCTTGATCAAGGCAGGTCACATTCTTTTCACACAATCTGCACTTTCTTACGACTTTCAGGTCATTGCGCTATTCAATGCAAGGAAACATGATGAAGCGATACAACGCATTGGGGAGCTATCTCAGGCTTCTACTCTCTATAATGATCCCATTCCTTCTCGTATCGTTGAGGTAAGTATTGTGCCTCGGTCAGTGCCAGGTTCGGCTGCTGACACTAATTTTCTGGGTTTTCGCACATCAGGCGTATCTACATGTCGAACTGGGCAGCGTTGCGTTGAATAATACCATTTTTGGACCCGTTCCGCCGCTTTGCCCGCACAAATTAGCTAGCGCTATTGATCACTTCACTACCGCTGTCAACGCTAGCTCTTTCTTTTTTGGATTACCAATTCATACCAAATACGAGGTATTCATCGAGGTGCGTTGATATGATATAACTGAAAATCACTTTCATCCTCGACTCCGTTGTTTGCAGCTCTTCGGGTGGGACCTCAAGTCCTTGTGGGAAACCGCGAATAAGCAACTGTGTCATGCACTCTTGCTGGCTGGCGAGCATAGAAAAGCTTTCAAGTTATTCTATTCTATGATAGACAAATGTGACGAGCCTACAAAAGCCAGCTTACGGACTTGGTTCACTGGTAAGTCTCTAACAATGTCACATATGCTACTGTCTTCAACCGCCCCCACTCAGAGTATATATGAAGCGTGCTCCATGTTGCCAGTACAGATGGAGCCATCACCACGAATGGTTGCTTGTGCATTTCGGTGAACAATATCTCATACTTTTCCTCCCGCGGTAAAGCGATCTGGCAATTCGATAGTTACTGGATAAGTACGTAGCGCCATCTAAAGTGGCAGAACCCGCTACCCGACTTGCCCTAGTGTACCAGGTTTCCGCATTTTTCCGTTACCGTCTGATCCTTGCTGGCGCAGCGGGGGCGAAAGGCTTGTGTTCGCTTACCCTTTACAAGGACACCAATGTGCGATTTCAAACGCTTTCTCAGCTGCGAGAGACTATCACCTTCATCGTATTCAATATTGTGACAGCACAACAAGCGCATCAAAGGCTTCCGAGCAATGGTTTGGCGCAACGAACTCGAAAGATGAATTTGCAAATTCGACATCTGTTGACTCGTATCAGAAAAATCATCATAACTATCTGTAGGCCTGTTAAACCCAACGTCGCCTTCTGGTCAACTTTCAGCGCGATACTCGTCAATTACTTGAGAACAAGCTGATCGACGATCCTGCGAATACAGGGTGCACATACCCTTAGATGTATGGTCGATGATCCTATCCAACAATTCATCCTTGGTGCCCACAAAGCACAGACCATGCCAAGACGCTATGGCTTCCAAGGAAGTCCTGGACATATGCTCCGCCTTTGAAAACAACGATTGCGATAATTTAGCCACGGCTTCGTATGCACCCGGCTGCGGAAGATATTGAGAATGGAAATAGCTCTCCTCCTGCGACGGTCTTCTAAGTTCTTGATGACAAACAGAGTCTAGATCACTAAATACTCCGTGCAACAGTCCAAAGATTATCGCCTGATATTGCAGAAGTGTCCGCACTCATCAACATATCTAATATGCAGTCAACTAGATCAGATGAAGAACTAAAGCTTACTGCAACCTCACAACATGCAGTATAATCGCAATAACAAACTGCGTAGCTCGACAACTCAATGAGAATGCCCAAGTGCCAAGCCATGCAAAGAGCACGCCTGATTAAACAGCTCAACATCAGACGAGAAAAGGACGATACGAATCCCAGAAGCTTGGCCGACAAACGACATGGTAGTTCACGAACACGTGACCGCGTTAAGTCGCGACTTCAATCAAGAAGTTATACTCTTCGGCCCCGCCACAATCATGATTGAACCTACTCCCATTATTGACCTCACTACCCCCGGAGCTGCAAGAACGTCATTAGCAGAACATTTGATCACTGCCAAGAATCTTCAGGCTACACTGGACGATGCAAAATCGGGACTCCGAATAGTTAATGCTCATGCTGAGCTGTCCACACATACTTGGGATGGCATTGAAGAATGGGTTGGTGAAGATGGCACTCTGGGACTCAAAGATCCTAAGATTGTTGAGAGCGACGTACAAGTTCAAATCGTGCGTGTTTTACCTGTCTAAATCATGCATGGTGACTTATTTGCCGTTTCAACGTTCAACCGTCGATCCTGAATAGTCTTTCCTAAGGAAGCTCAAGTTTCTTTACCTGGAACAGAATGCCAAAGATAAATATGTCAAGACCATTGTCAGTGACGATGCCCCGCTGGTGACACCTGCGCTAAACGAGGAACTCCGAGTACGGAATGAGGAGAAGAAGGCTGCGCTACGTGAGCACAAAGCGAAGCTAGCAGAAAGAAGGGACGATCTTCGAGCACTTTCTGGATTCGTTGAAGAAGGCATGTACCGTAGAATGTTGCATTTGCGTGCGCTTCATGCTAAACAATCGACGTAGATTACAAGAAAGCACAAGCCCTCACTCTCCAAGCATCCACGCTCTCACAAAAGATACTCGATGCACGTCTATCACTTACTCGCTTGCGACAGGCCCACCCCCATCCTCGGTTAACAATAACCACAGCGAACCAGCAACTTGATGGCCAGGTAGAAGAGATGCAAGCACTAGACGCGGAACTTGCAGATGCACACGAGAAGATTGCTACTGTACGAGAGCGGATAAAAGTTGGGACGGCTGACGTTGAAAAGCTGAGGAGTGTTAGAGCAGAGGTGGAAAAGGCTGTGGAAATCGGCGCGGGTGAAAGAGTGGAAGACGGAAGAGTGACTGAACTGTATGATTGGTGCGCAACTTCTAACGTGAGACTACTTATTTCTGACTCTTTCTGATTTCACGCAGGTTCTCAACCACGACCTTAACCTATCATGCGCTCGTTTCACTTCTCTCTGCGCACAGTGAGTCTGACAACGAGCTGCGCCTCACCTACCGCGTGCATGAGCGTGAGGTATGTATAACGCTGCTATTCATACCTAATACGCGCCGCTTGGCTGAGGCACGAGTGGAGGGCGTCGAGGAACACGTAATCGGAGACGTAGTGGATGCACACGTCATGGAAAACGATGTGTCTGGGCTTGTATGGGCTGTGCTTGCGAGAGCAAGGGCCACATAATACCATCCCTATCGTGACTGGTCATTCCTCATTGATACAGGAGGGACAATATTGTCCACGCGACAATCACTTACTCCTGCGAGCTGTCCATTACCTGGGAGTTAACATTCACGACCGCTATCTAGTAGACCGCGGCTAGCCATATACGACGGACTGGGTGACAATTCAGATATGACTCTGCAACGTTTAGGTTGAGCCGGGCTGCGGTCAGCCACACAGAAGTTAACTTGTTCTTGCATTCGAATGAGTACGGCGTGCCCCACGAGAGTGTCTCCTGGCTGTTATTCGCAGGAACCCGGTTTTCTCCTCCGACCAAGTGCGCGCTGTCTGGGGTCAATGTTTGTTGTAGTATGTAGGCCGAATAGTATCATATATCAATGTGCTAGGTGGCACTAGCGATGGCCATTGTGACTGTACTTGGTAGTACAAAGAGCTTCATCCAATCCTTCTTTACTGGTGGTGACACCCTCAGCTATCAACCATGATACAGCTACCTGACTTGTGCATCTCTGACAACACGCAACTTGTCCTCAATGCTGTGGCTTGTCTTGGTGTTGTAGGAATACTTGTTCGGGCTTACCGTCATAAAACGGAGAGCCAGCTTTCTCTCCCACCTTCCCCTCCCACCTGGAGACTTTGGGGGCACTTCCTGCCGTATCTCCAGTAAACTTTCTAGTTCGACCTGTTGACTTTCGATTGCTGATTGTGTCTTATCGCTGATAAGCCCATCCCTCGTGATAGCGGGATGGATTGAAAAGTACGGTCCTCTGATCACCATCCGGTCAAAATTTGAGCACATCGTCATTATTGGCCGCTACAAGGTCGGTCCCTACATGCTGAATGGCCCTCATCTAGGCTTTACATTTTTGTTGCAGGCAGCCATTGATATCATGGAGAACCAGGGCAAATTTACAGCCGATCGTCCTCGCATGAATCCTGCTGGAAAAATGTTTCACGGCGCAATTAGTATCCCGTTTGTACATTTTGGGGACAGGTTCCGTCGGATGCGTAGGTTAGTGATCTACTTCCCCTCGCCTACCTTAATTTTCAACATGATCCAGAACACTTCATCCGCATCTCCAGCCTAAAGCAGCTGAGGCCTATCAACCTCTGCAGATGTCGCACGCGAAGAACACAGTTCTCAGCATTCTCGACGATCCATACAACTATCATAACCACGTGATAACGTGAGCACTTTCGGCTATGATTGTACTTTGCTTACAGATGGTTTGAAGTTATGCTGCGACGACAATCATGAAAGTTGCATATGGAAGAAGTGTGCCCACATCTGCGACCGATCCGGAAATGGTTGAACTCAGTCGACGCATCAAGATGTCAAGAGTAGCCCGGCATCCTGGCACGTACCTAGTAGACTGGATCCCGTGGCTCGAATATCTTCCTTGGTATGGACGAGATTTGAAACGGTCATTTGAGAGTACCAAGAAACTCAACATTGATCGGCTGAACCGCGTGAAAGAGCAAATGGTGTGCATTTCCTTCACAATCTTTACTTCGTCTCTGAGCCACTGTACAGCAAAGTGACAAGGACATCGGTCCTTCGTTCGCGAAATATATGCTAGAGAATATTCATCTCCATGGTTTAACAGAAATTGAGATGGCCTTTCTTGGCGCCACCTTTTTTGTAGCTGGATCTAGTACTGTGAGGTTTTGTTTGTTGCCTCCGGAAATATGTGGCTGAAATCAGGCAAAAGACTTCTGCGGCAATATCCACGGTACTGATGGCAGCCGCATGTTTCCCCGAGGAGCAAGCTCAAGTTCAAGCTGAGCTTGACATGATCATCGGAAGGCACCGAGGTAAGCTTGATTACCTATTGCAGTGCTCTAATTCGATCGTATCTGCACAAAAGCACCAACCTTTGCCGACCAAAATTCTCTTCCTCGCCTGCAAGCATTCATCTCCGAGGCTTTGAGATGGAGACCGCCTTTGCCTACCGGTGGTAGGTATCATCTTCCTTTTTGTTTTATCCCTAAATTTCAACATGCACACTGCAGCATTAGCTCACCGAACAACCCACGACGTGATTTGGGCAAGTGCTCTTTGAATAGCTTATTGCACGGATAGATGATCTGGCCCATCAGGAAAACTATCGTATTCCAGCTGGGACCACATTGTCCGCCGACCACTGGTAGGCATCATGCTTCAAAATACGAAGGATCTAACGGTTACTGCCTTAGGTCCATCTCTCGAGATCCAGATGTCTATCCAGAGCCTGACACGTTCAAACCTCAGCGCTGGATTGACGACCAATATCGCCTAAGAGACGACTTAAAAAATTTCGTCTTTGGCTTTGGTCGGCGGTAAGCACCGTCTTTCAGTTGTTCATTTTTTCAATGACATTGCTTTTAGCGTATGCCCTGGTCAACATGTCGCGAACAGGTGAAGTTATTCTTCCGCGCACATTGTCTTCCGAACTGACTTTGATCAACCCAGATCGGTGTTCATCAACTCGCTCCTAACCATGTGGGCCTTCCAGCTCACTTTGAATCCTACGAAGCCGTTGGATGACAGGGGATTCATGAACGGGGTTATGTCAATTGTTCCGCCATGCGCAATTGAGTTTGAGAGGAGGATTCCAGAATCGGAGCTCAGGCACATGATGCAGCATTATCCTCAGGATACATGAGAAGCCTTGACGCCTAGATGGGTCAGGGAGACTACGAAGAACTAGTCCCAACGAATCGCCAATTGAACATATTGGTGCATCCCTCGACTTGCAGTCTATTTTAATTATGCCTTTCATGCGATTTTGAACTGTACATTATCATCGTCGTGTATATCATCTTAGACAGACCTCATTTGAATAAAGCAAAACATATGATGCAACAATTTGCAGCAGTGACTTGAACAGACATTGAGCACTGTCACTGGCAGGTACGGTATGTTCCCATATGCACTTGCACCTTTTCAAGGTTGAATGTTGAATATTGAATGGTCAGCTGACGATGAAGAGGATCGACTCATAGATGAACAAGAAGTCGACATTGAACATCTCTGCATCATATAGCCAGGCTCCACCACTTGGACGGCAGCATAACCTTCCACAGTCATAGCAGTACATAGTGAGAACTGGTCCCCTCGGACAAAGATGACTTCAAATTGGTATTATCTACTGCGAAACTTCCGTCTGACAACTCGAAAAATTTATGGTATCAAACCATATGCATACTATTCCCCGTTATCAGTTCGATTAGGAGGATGGAGTCTGCGGAAGAGATAAGTGTATGAGTCTTTCTGGGGTATATAGGAGGTAGGGATATGATCAGGTTCGAGTGCTATCACTCAGCTGCAGTGTCCAGACTGGAGATTTCAAAACATGGAACCCAATATGTATAAGGCGACATTAGTTGTTGCTACTCTCACGTTGAAATACACACACCTTAGCATATTTCTGCCCTTCAGATAAGACGACAAGGCAAGACCGCAGACCCTTCAAACACCACTGCCGTTCGAGCCAGGAAAGGAGGTAACGATTCCAGAAAGTCTGGAATATGTGATTGAGCGTGTCATCCAGTGGATCTGGAGCACGCGAGAGATGGGTGGCCCAGTTTTGACAGGCGTACTTGAGAGCGTCGGAAGATAATTGACTGTTGTGCTGTGCCTTGTGTGTGAAAGTCATAAAGGTGTTTATGGAATGGATGATCTTCCTGTTTGGTGGACGATTTGTAGTGGAATGAAGCTGGTAGTTTAACGCAAGGAATGCCGGGAACATTAAAAAATCAGGCAAGGTTTTAAACTGCTGGATTGATTGGAAGGTTGGTAGTGAACACAATTCTGGAATAACAACAAACTCGCTGATTGCTTCCAACGTACTTGAGAATTCGTCCAGAGCCAACCAGACAGATGCTGCAGGAGTGGATTTCCACGCTTGGCCATGGGGTGTCTGCAGCCAGGCCTGCCCATTCGGGGATTTCAGCCAGTCTGGCCCGTCCGGGGACTTTGTCTGAGTCTGTACCCAGTTCTGTCCTGCCTGGGTCTGTAGCCAATTCGATCCTCCATCGGTCCGCAGCCAACTTTCGCCTCCCTTTGTCCACAGACAGCTTCGTCCCTCAGTCTGCAACCAGCTTTGTCCTCCCTCAATCCGCAGCCAGCTTTGCCCTCCCTCGGTCCACAGCCATCCTTGTCCTTTCTCGGTCCACAGCCAGCTCTGTCCTGCCTGGGTCTGCAGCCAATTCGATCCTCCCTCAGTCAGCAGCCAGTTCTGTCCTGCCTGGGTCTGCAGTCAATTCGATCCTCCCTCGGTCAGCAGCCAGTTCTGTCCTGCCTGGGTCTGCAGTCAATTCGATCCTCCCTCGGTCAGCAGCCAGCTTTGTCCTCCCTCTGTCCACAGCCAGCTTCGACCCTCAGTCTGCAACCAGATTTGTCCTCCCTCGGTCCGCAGCCAGCTTTGCCCTCCCTCTGTCCGCAGCCAGCTTTTTCCTCCCTCGTTCCGCAGCCAGTTTCGTCCTCTCCTGTTCTGCAGCCAGCTTTGTCCTCCCTCTGTCCGCAGCCAGCTTTGTCCTCTCTTACTCTGCAGCCAGCTCCGTCCTCCCTTGGTCCGCAGCCAGCTTCATCCTCTCCCAGTCCGCAGCCGATTTTGTCTTACCTGGACCTGCACCCAGGCTTTCATGTCAAGGTCCCAGACCCAGGCCAGCACTGGTGTCAGCAGCCAGTTTTTCCCTTCCTGGGTCTGCAGCCACTCTGACCTGTGCTCCATCTGTGGCCGGTCACCCACTTCCGAAGACTCTGAATAGTCCGAAGAGTCTGACACGGATTGCAATTCAGGCATTTGCTGGGCATCCCAGGCCAATCCTCCCTTGGTCTGCAGCCACTCTCTCCCGGGTATTCAGCCAGGATTCCCCGTCAGGGGTGTATAGCCAGGTATCCCCATCCACAGTCTCTAGCCAAAATTGTACATCTGACCTGCAATCACCACGAAGGCATAGCATGCCAATAAGAATGGACGCCGGCTTGTGTTCCCGAACGAAGAAGGCTAATTCGTTGTTTAATCTATGGGGGTCCCCAGGACTCGTTGCATGGGTCTGCATCTTCAGCTCTGAAAGCGCATCCAAGAGAGCCGTGCTTTTAGGAATCTCCCTCATCATCAAGCGAAGAGACGAATCAGCGAGTAGTGAGTGCGGTGATGACATTTCATGTACTTGAAGGAGGCTGCAGTTTGAGGGGTCGGAGACATAGTCACGAATGGACGAGTGGTGAATATTCACGGGAAGAATGCTATCTATAGGGATATCCACAACAGACCGTAGCTGCATCAGTGTTGTCTGCACATCTCTGCCTAAACCAGATCCAAGAAGTGATGAGATTTGTGAGATGGGAAGAGGGTCTGCGAGGGCGGCGACAATGGACAAGTGCATGTAAGCACGCTTGGGGTCGGCACATGTGGAGAGGATACAGTCGTATAACTTGAACACCTCCGTTCCTGGTAGCAGCTCACTTGTCAGCTTGAGCATCAGCTGCAACCGATCGCTGGGATCCTTGTCTTCATCATCAATAATAAACTTCATCATCGTAGACGCCACGATGAAACGTCTGCCCGCTCGGCTCGCCAGCTTCACAAGATCATCCGTCGATGGCTGAGGGAAATCTGGATGGCGACTTCCTAGCTCTTCGAAGGAATGCTGCAAGAAAGTGCAGATGTCCTTGTCAACGTCTGCGCCGTCCAACGAAATGATGCCACCCTTCCCAGAAGTTTTCACGGGTATCTCGCGCACCAACGGGCACACCTCTGCGTTCTGAAAGGCTTTATAGATGTGGGATTCCAAGCGACTTGTAAGCAGAATATGGGTCACAGGAAGGTCAGGCTCACGAAGAGCCTGTGCGAGGGAAAGGATGAGATCGGTAAGCTCGGGTTCAGATGTGCATTCATCAAGCGCATCGACAACAAATATCAAAGGCTGACACCCGCGCAATCTGAGGTGAAGCCCACGGAGAGGTTGAAGAAAGAGCTTCTCCATCTGGTCGCAGACAGGCGTGTCTGGGTCTAGTAGAGCAGGATTGTTGCGGATCGCTCTGCTCACATCCTTCCGGATGCTTGGAAAATTGGTGGCAAGCTGGTAGACGAGCGTCGCAAAGAAATATCCAGCCGTGCAACGTTTGGTGTGCTTGCGCGAAAAAAAGAATGTTCCTGCTAGCCGTTTTTCGACGTTCGTCTTTTCGGTCACTTTCATACCTTTCATTGTTTCAGAAACTGTATACGCAACGGCAGACTTTCCGACACCAGCCGTGCCATGCAGCCAAATGAGTTGATTCTTATCTGGGTTGTCCAGTAGTTCGTGGATGTATTTGAGGAGATCAACCCGGGTCCCTTTCAAACATTTCGGGTGGGGCAGACGTTCACGGGAGTTGTATTGGGCACCTTTGACAGCAACCTGGGAGAGTTTCTCCCAAATTCCTTCAAGAACTATTAAAGAAATTGGAGAGCATGCAAGAGATAAGAGATGGGAGCACTGACATCGATCATCACTCATTGACGAAGAACGGTTGTGGTATGCGAGATACAGTGAACCAACTGAAAGTATTAACTGGGTTGGAGGGTGCCGTTAGAACCCATCCAACCGATGGTTAACTTGAGAGGCGACGTACGAATGTTTGAATCGAAACTTGGGCTTAGATTGCGCAATGACGAAGCTGTCGAGTGATCAGTGTAAAGCGTGATTTGAAATTGAATGGTTGAATGGATGTTTCAATCTATAGAAAGCTCGCTAGATCAACGCTAGATCGTGATTGATAGGATTTGAAAGGCGAATGCTCAGCGCTGCAGCGAGCGCTCGTCTGGTGGCGCTGTGGTATTGCCGACACGTTGTAGGAACGTTATAGCTCGCATATGTAGCCTTTACAGCACAGCACAACAGGCTTGGAAAAGTTAATATTGGTGGCGCAGCTAATGTCGTAAAGCCTTCTGGCATTTTCAGCGATCGAGTAGCCTGGTGTACTGAGAGTCACTGCAGTGACTGCACCAACTAGTGGTGACTACTAATACCTCCGAAGTCTCCTGGGGTACCAAGTCAATCACACTCTAAAGCGCATGTCACACTATACCGTATTGAACGCTGGCAGAGTCAAAGATCCATGTCTGACATTTGAGACACTAACAGTGATGATGATAGAGATAGAATTGAAACGCAGTAAGTAAATGACGACGAACTCGGATCGATACTGCAATGCACCGGCTAGGCGGCGATCATGCTGGCGAACTTGTGCTGGAGAATGCGATAACATGCGACGAAGAGTGACAGCTATGGAACGTGAAACAAGACTCAGAGAAACGAACAAGAACAAGACAAGAGCAACGAACGAGATGACAAGATTTGAGACAAAAGAGCAACGAACGAGACGGTGAGATTTGAGACGACGAGATGCGAGAATATGATTTAAAACGCGCCGAAATACCCTTCGGCAGCCTGAACAAGAACAGATCGCAAGTAGGCGAGACGATTCTCAACTCTGGCACACAAGTAGGTGCTGCATACTGCTGGGCTCCTCAAGAAAACATTGATGAGGGTGATCTTGTCAGCTGGTACAATCCCCTCCTCATCCCGTATGGAGGCCAAGGCCTGTGATCTTTCATCCGCCACCCGAGTTTCTTCAATTGATGCCTGAAGCGTGTCCGCCAGGCGGTTAATGGAACTTTGCAGGTCCATGAAGGCAGCGCTGCTTTGCTCCTCCTCGGTCAATGTCATAGTTAAGAGTCGGTACTGAACGGTACAGATAATCACGGCAGTTACAGCTAAGAGGATCTGCCTTCGCTGATGAGTAGTCATGGTCAGGAGAGATTATTCAAGTTGAAACTCCGTCACAAGCTCCAACACACATACATAGTTGTTCCACGTTGTTCTAAATCATGAAATAATGTGCTTACCTTTTTGGTTGGAGATTATATGTACACTGACCCTTTCTTACTCAGTCTACTCCGTAGAGTCAGGGAGTAGAAAATCCAAGTTGTGTTTTACCAACTTGCATGACATCTGAATTGAGCAATCCACCTCGCCTGAAAGTAATACGCGAACCAGAGTCAGAGTCATATGATATGCAGTCAGTCTCCAGCAAGATATTCTCAATAAACGTCACGCTGTGCGAGTGTGGAATTCATATATATCAATCATTTCGCTCTTTCATACTATCAGTAATGTACATCCTCCTTCGCATAGACATACAGGTGCATATAAGTTTTGTATACATAAAGATATTAGCAAGGGTTTCAAGCAGGCGCATCCGCAGTTTAACGTTCAACGCTGACCGTCTACAAGAACATGTCAGACAAGACTAACGAGTAACATGTCTAAACAGGTACTCACAAGCCTTGCTCTCGTACTTGCCAACACCGACGATGATGTTTTGAGGCTCCTGGGCCTTGCCAGAGAGGTAGTTCTCAATGATGCTCTTGGTGCCGCTTGCATAACGAGTCTGAGCATCGAGGGTGGTGCCAGAGTAATGGGGTACCATGCCGTTACCGCCACCAAGGGTGTTCTTAGCCGTGCGCAAGACGTGGTCTTTGGGTGCGGGCTGGACGTTCCAAACATCACCGGCGTAACCTGTTGGCATGTGAGCTCAATGTACAGATATTAGGTGGTGGGGGTCACGAACCGTTCAGGTGACCACTTGCAAGGGCAGCAGCTACGGCGTCCTTGTCACAGATAGCACCACGAGCGGTGTTAACGAGCCATGCACCCTTCTTGAAGTGTTTGAGAAGCTCAGCGTTGACGAGGCCGAGTGTACCCTCGTGCAGAGGGCAGTTGACAGTGATGACGTCGCACTGCGAGACGAAGTCCTTGAGGTCCTCGACGCGACGAGCGTTGACGGCCTTACCAGCAGCTGTAATACATGAGTCAAGCTGTATAAAACCGTAAATAGTGTGGTACAAACCTTCAGGCAGGGGAGCGTAGTCGTAGTAGAGGAGCTCCTTGCAGTCGAAAGGAAGCAGACGCTGGAGGACACGGTAGCCGATACGACCAGCACCAATGGTGCCAACGACCTTGCCCTCGAGATCGAAGGCATTGCGAGCAATGTCAGAGACCATCCAGTCTCCACGCTCGATCATCTAAGGATGGAAAGCAATTAACAGAGGGAAGCGCACGTTAGCGGGTCATCATACCTCGTGTGCTGGAACAAAGTTCCTGACGAGGAGGAGGATAGACATCACAACGTGCTCAGCGACGGAGACGACATTGGATCCTGAGACCTCCAAGACCTGAATACCATGTTTGACAGCGGTGTTGAGGTCGATGTGGTCAGAGCCAACACCAGCGGTGACACAGAGCTTAAGGTTCTTGGCCTATCAGGAGTATAAATGTACCGTTCATATTGATAGCTCAACGATCATACCTTTGCGATCAAGTCACCAGTGAGGTACCCGGGGTGGAATGGAGTCGTGATCAAGATTTCAGCCTAAAAAGGAAAGTAAGCACACGCGAATATATATACAGTAGTCACGGTAGGGCTTAGACTTACATCAACGATGTGCTTCTGGAAGTCGCTGTCAGGGCCCTCTTTTGATTCCGAAACCTACACGAATGAGTAGATTAGGCGACTGCGTAAGTATGCCAAGAGAAACCTTGACACGTACAATGTACTCGTGGCCTTGAGACTCAAGCCACTTGCGGATACCGAGCTATACGGAAAGCTTGAGTAAGTCTGTTTGAGATAATCCAGATTCTCAATGAGACGAACCTGGTTCTCCACAGTACCAAGGAGACGGGGCTCGCTCGTAGCAGCATTACCGCCCTTGTAGAGGATAGCTAAGATCTAGAAGCGCAAGCGCGTCAGATCTTGTGATTGATGACAGCGAATTCATCACTACCTTCATGACTGAGTTTCTGAGGACTGAAGGAAGATGTGTAGTTAGGAAAGTGGGTGGAGAATGAGTCCTTAAGTCGACCAAAGTCCAGGATCTTTATAGGAGGAGTGCGGGGTGTAAGCGGTCCTACTGCAATAGGAAAATATGCATCAGCTGACACTGTGTGGGCCTACCATTCTTTGTGCACATCATGGCTCTTCCGGTTTTGGCCTCTGATGAAGCGATCCGTCCATTTGGCAGATGGCGCCCTGATGGGGATCACGTGTGCCTACCCGGTCACGCCCAATGATTGGCCAAAAATAACACCCTCCATAATCCATTATATCGCGTCCCGGAAGAAGGCGCTCGCATGGTAGCCTACGGTACCAGTTGGAGAATTGATGCGGACGGGATCGGAAGAAACCATTGTTCACTTACCACGGCGGACGTCTGAGTTCAACAACAATATTTAGTAGAATTCAGTGGGAGATGCGGACAGATCCTGGGATGTTAGCAGTCAGCCCCATCTCACGTTCAAATGAAACACTCCTTGCCTGACGCACACACACTCGGGTGGACTTGTTCAGAGATCATATCAGCTTTACACGAGCGTCGGAGCACCCCGGTGGGATCCCCAGCATGGGAACTCCAATTTTCTTTGTCATTTTTAATATGTGACATGAGAAAGGGAGAACAAGTTCATGAATTGGTCAGTTAGAGTACAAGCAGCCTCCAGTCAGCCTCCAGTCTACTCCATCAGACTTTGTTGTCGAGCAACGCTCGTTAGGTTAAATTTGATGTTTCGATGGGAACGTCTACTTGGCTCGATCGGAAGTGGTTTTGACGTTGTAACCAGTGAATAATGAGCTGGACCCACTTGCCGAGTGGGACCTATGTGTGAACATGGACTGATAATTGCTGAGTGCTATACTATGAGCTGTTCCGTTAGTGTATTGCTATGCACCCTGTTTAGTGAACCCGATTACTTACAATATAAATTGTTATCCAGCTGGGCGTTTTGATGCGAACACATAATCATCATCTATAGGATCAGAACGGTTTGATGGCATTGCCGAGTGGGGCATAATGTATTAATATCTATTTGTAATTGCTGGATGCTATACTATGAGCTGTTCCGTAAGTATATTGTTACGGGCCCTGCCTAGTGAACCCGATTACTCACTACAATGCAAATCCTTATCCTGAGTGTTCTGATGCAAGTACATAATCATCATCCATAGGGTCAGAACGGTTTGAGGGCATCAACTCCACCTCCTCTGATGCAGTTCTGATTGACATAATCTGAGATTTGTGTTGTGCACTCTTTGCGACCTCCCATTCCACCCGAAGGAAGACCCACATCCATCGTCGAAAGACTTCCGCAACCTCAAGCCAGAGCATAAGAACGCTTCCTTCCGACTGCGAATGCAGATGACTTGATAGTTTGATTGACCATGTCATACGGAGCACGAGGTTGAAGAACATAACCAGGGGGTATACCAGAAGCGGGTAGAGGAGCACTGGTCGAAGTCCATAAGGGTATGACTGATGACGGTGTATTGCGCCACCAAGAACCTGGTGGCCGGAAGGTTGTGTGACAATATGTGCGTCGGAAGACCCAGCAATGGAAGAAGTTTTTGAATGGAGAGATGGGAGCACAAGGGGTCTTCGCGACTCCGCAGATCGCGATCTCAAAAGGTTGAGACCCCAATCATTGGTTAAATCCCACCAGAAGGAATATAGAGAGTTCACGGCCGCGGCTAGAAGCCTAAATTGACGTAGCAGATCACTTGGCGACGACAAATTTATGAACCTTGCTTACCATAGGCGAAATAATGGATGTTCCCCATGCCATGGCTCTCGCGTGACCAATTCACCCTTCACCTCCGCGAGCTCCAGCACCACAATTCTTTGAGCGGCAGAAAGGAATATCACCGGGAACGAGGATGCGTATTTGAGCGCATTGAAGAGGG